CAGTTAGAAGCTGTTGATATTTGGGACAAGAAGTCTACTCTGATGATTGCTAATGCTCCAACTGATCAAATGGACATTTCAAAAGATGAGTCTGAAGATGCCTCTGAAGATTCAAATCCTCTGGCAATAGTTCTGTTTAATCAACCTTCTGTTAAAGCTGCACCTGAACCTGTGCCAACTCTTATGGTGGATCTGGGCACTCTACTTTCAACTTTTGTTTGTTCTGACTCAACGGTTTCTACTCCAAAGGTTGTATCTGCTGAAGCTTTTTCATCCTCTGCTCCTACTTCACTTGTTATAGATACTCTGAATGAGCTTAAGAGGGAAAATGAAGCTATTCATGAGCGCTTGGATAAACAAGATCAGACAAACCAGGAAATCAGAAATTGGATGATGAAACAAGAGGAATATGCATCTGAGATCAAGAATCTTCTTATGGCTCTTGTTTCTAAGAAACCTTAGTGTCATTTTGTTTCTTATTTTGTACATCTGAATTTTTTTATTAAAACCTTTACACTCTTCAATTATTTTTATATACTTTTTGATTATGCCAAAAAGGGGGAGAAAATGAGTATTTTTGATCTAATCTCTGATTAACAGTTATGGGACGAAGTCTCAAACATTCTAACAAAATACAGAGATTTCTTTTTGTTTAAAAGAATTTTGCAGGTATCACTAAACTCTGGAAGTTTAATTCAACTGAACATTATCTTCAAAAGACTTACTGAAGAAATCCTAGAAGAAAATTTCAAAGCTCTGATGAAAATCTCAAGAAGTTTTTATTATAGAAATATTTATTCCAGGGGGAGATTCTTATCTCTTGTTCAATTTTATTTCTAAATCTGAATATTTTTGTCATCATCAAAAAGGGGGAGATTGTTAGAACAAGATTGGTTCTGATCATATCTCAGAGTTTTAATGATAACAATAAAATATATTTTATATAATTGATACTCTGAAGAACATATTTATTTGTTTCAGATAATGTTCTGACAGAAGCATTTTGACGTGCTGAGCTGAAAATAAATGAAGAAGTTCTTTGATGAAAGAACTATTTGTTTTAGCGCAAGTTCTGATGCCGACTCTGATAAGAAACTATTTAATGCATCTTATAATCCTTAGCAAGTTTCTATGTTTCAGAAGTACCTTGATAGCAAGCGCTGATCAGAAGTACTTTGAAAGAAAGCGCTGATCAGAAGTACTTTGAAAGCAAGCTATGTTCAGAAGGATTCTGCAAGCAAGACGTGAAGATATGTTATGATAGAATAAAGAATGCAAGCGCTGATAAGAAGATATTGCAAGCATATTCTGAAGCAAGATGTGAAGCTAGTTCTGAAAGAATATAGAAGCTAACAAGTCTTGTCAAGTTTTAGGAAACATGCTCTGACAAGTGCCATTTGCTCATTTAATGCAAAGACGGCTACATGCACTCAGGTGTCTACGTTAGTTCATTGGAAAATGCAATACTGCAAGCAAACATGCAAACATTAAATGCTCTCCACTTTTGAAGGCAACAACGGTCATTTTCTTCATGCTATAAATAGAAGATCATTTATTGCAAGCCAACAACTCAATAAATTCAAAACAGCAAGAACTACGTGAAAATATTCTAGGCTCACAAATTATTTTACAAACACTTTGTGCAAAACTAATCTTAGTGAAAAATCACAGTTTGTGATATAGCTTTCTTAGAAGCAAATTTGTTTCACTGTCTGTAAAGATTTAATTCTTGTAATTGTTCCTTGAGAGACCAAGTTTGGTCAGATTTCTCAAGAAGGCTAGGACTAGTTTGAGTCTTAGTGGTGTTAGTCACTTGTAAGTTCACTTGTGCATTGTTAGTCACAACAGTTGTTGTGTGATTGTAATCAGTTGATTATAGTGAATTAAGTCTTTGTTGAGAAAGGAGAAATCACCTTGGCGGGTGGACTAGAGTAGTTTGAGTTCAAACGAACCAGGATAAAAATAAATGTGTCTTTCCATTATTGCTGAGCCTTTAAGAAAAAGGAAAAGAGAAACTTATTCAATCCCCCCCCTCTAAGTGTTTTCTCACCCTTCAGATAATAGCTCAATTGCTTGGATCAAAGCTCTAACAGCTGTGTAAACATTTAATTATGGAGTGACAAATAAGTTTGAGTCTTGCAAAGCAAGGATTATGAAATCTAGCATAAATTTGGTTCATGTGTTCATCAAAAATGGCTTGTAATTCAAGTGACAAAATCCTAACTTCATATATTCGATTCTCTCTACTCAAGAATGATCTCAAGGAGTTCTTGGATATTTTGGAAAGCTTGCAATGTGCTCTACAACCCATCTTTGAATTGATTTTGAAGACTCTATCTAGTCAACAAAATAAGAGATGTTGCCCATATTCAGGAATTCACTGCTAAACAGAGGCCGGCCAAAAGATATAAAACTAAAGTGATTTGAAGGAAAATGCAAGAGGGCAACAAGATATTGAGACAAGTTTTCGTGCCTGCACAATAGGGGAAACTACAACCCAATTGGGAAAAACCACATCACATATATCAGAAGCTACCCCATGGAGCCTACGAGCTCGAGGAGTTAGATAGACGACTCATTCCCAAAATTTGGAACTCAACTAATCTAAGATATTATTATAATTGATTGTTAGAAAGGAGATTCACTTACCAATGTGTCTCTTTGAAAAACATTCATTATTTGTAACAAGTTTATTTAGTTTTGCAGTCCATATGAATGTGGGACTTTCACTCGAAGATCCATGTCGCGTTAAAAAGGGCAATATAAATGTTGGGCTTCCACAGGAAGATCATTGTCGTCTTAAAAAGAGAAATACGAACACCGGACTTCCATGGGAAGATTCTTGTCATCTTAAAAAGGGAAATATGAACATTAAACTTCCACATGAAGTTCCTTGTCGCATTAAATAAGAAAAATATGAATTATGGACTTCCATATAAAGATCATTACCGTGTTAAAAAGGGAAATATGAATATTGGACTTCCGCAAGAAGATTTTTGCCGCCTTAAAAATGGAAATATGACTGCCGAACTTTCACAAGAAAATCCTTGCCTCCTTAAAAGGGGAAACATGAATGACAGACTTCAACAAAAATATATCTGCTTCCTTAAAAAAGGCAATATGAATGTTATACTTGAACAAGAAGATCTTTGTTGCCTTAAAAGGGCAATGTGAATGTTGGACTTTCACAAGAAGATTACTGTCGTCTTAGAAATGGGAAACATAAACATCGTCTCTATAAGACATCTCCCATGACAAGCTCGACTAAAGTCTTGCTTGAGGGACTCAATTAAATTCTCTCTCGAGGGACTCAACTAAAGTCTCGTCTGAGGGACTCCACTAAAGTCTCACCAGAGGGATTCAACTTAAGTCTCACCTGAGAGACTCCACTAAAGTCTCGCCCAAGGGACTCGACTAAAGTCTCTTCCGAGGGACTTGACTAAAGTCTCGCCTTATGGACTCAGTTAAAGTCTTGGCTGAGAGGCTTGGCCATAGTCTCGACTGAAGGTCTTAACTAAAGTCTTGTCAGAGGGACTCAATTAGAGTCTCGTAAGAGGGAATCAACTAAAGTTTTGTCAGAGGGACTCGACTAAAGTCTCGTAAGAGAGACTCAAATAAAGTCTCTTCAGAGGGACTCAACTAATGTCTCTTCAGAGGGACTCAACTAAAGTATATTTAGAGGGACTCGACTTAAGTCTCGCCAGAGAGACTCCACTAAAGTCTCGCATGAGGGACTCAACTAAAGTATCGACCGGGGGACTCAACTAAAGTCTCGCAATATGGACTCAAGGCGATAACCATTTTCCAAGGATTCATGGTATGACTCGTTCTTGTATGATTTATGGAGAGATAATAGTATTATACACGTTATCTATCCTAAAAGCGAGACCCATACTCCACAAAAGTAGCGTTGGAACGACGCCTTATTAGACAAGGACCCTAACGTCGCTCCCAACTTTCACAAATATAACACTATAAAATATATATTTTATATAAAATTAAAAATTTTTGTTTGTTGAAATATATTATCATTTTCATTATATTCAATCGATGAATTTATTTATAAGAAAAAATTATTCAAAAAATAGTGTAACTTTCAATTTAATATATTATAATTAAAGTAAAATAACATAATTATTTTTAAAATTTAAAGATAGTGCAATGACAATATAAATCAACATTATATATATAATCAATCAAAATCTTTATAATTACTATGTCATATCAGTTTTTAAAATTAAAATTGTGTTTTAACTAAATATATATCTATTTGACGGTGTAAAATTTTACACGGTCAACATTCTTTTTTTTTTCTTATTTTTAATTATAGTTAAATTAATATTAAAACTTAAATGTAATATACCGAAAGTATAAAATATTTTACATGGTTATTATATCACCATTCTTAAAAAGAAATATTTTATATATAATTTAAAAAAAATCAAACTTTTATAAAAATTAACGGATATGATTTACCTATTTATATATTAGCTTTTGAAGTGAAATATACTGTGAGTGTTGGAAAAACAGAAAATCCACTCCTCTCCATACACAAGAAACAAGTTTAGAGAAACACAATTCGAAATGCTTCCACACACCATAACATGAAACAACATTGAACCCTTTAACCCTTCAAATCAAATTTCATCTCTTCGATTTTCAAACTACCATAACAAATCTCTTGTCGATTCAAACCTAATCAAAACGAAACCCTCCAACACCTGTAGATCTGTACAAAAACCCTCAATTTCTCTTCATCCCAATTTGCCCAATTTTTTTTGGGATTCTTGTAGTTGTATCATACCCTTAGAAAATTTACATTTTTCTTCTCAGATTTCGTTACTTTAGGTTTTTTAAAATTTTTAATCGTAACCCCATTTTGAGAAATCGTCGTTTTAGTTATCATTTTAGTGATTTTGAAGAAACCCTCGCTTTTTGGTTGAGTTTAGCTTACTGTATATTCTTTTTCGGTAGAAATTTTTGGGTTTTGAATCTGTAACATGAACAATAGAGCGAGATATCCACTTGGAAACAATGGGTTAGGGCGAGGTGGAGGTGGAGGTGGTGGAGGTGGAGGGTTTCAACAGAGACCGAATCAACAACAGTATGTGCAGAGGCACATGATGCAAAATCAGCATCCGCAACAACAATATCAACAGAATCAACAATATCAGCAACAGCAACAACAACAGTGGCTGAGAAGGAACCAGTTGGGTGGTACTGACACCGGTGTTGTGGAGGAGGTCGAGAAGACTGTACAGTCTGAAACAAATGACTCTAGGTGCTCTTTGGTTTTTTTATTTTTGTTTTGTTTTTTAAACTTTTGGAACCTAACCAGATTAATTTCTTCTAGTTACATTGGTATAATTGTTTGTGTATTTGTCTTGTAACTATGACTTGTCTGTGTTTGTTTGTGTTACACAGACATGCATTTTGATGGGGATAATCAATATAGTTTGTATGTTTGTGGTGTTGAGTTTTGAATTTTTGATGTTACGGCATGAGACCTTTTTGTTGTTTATATGTTTGTGTGCGTGGTTGTTTGTTCAGGCCGTCTATCAGATGATATCTTGCTGTAGGAGGGAATCGTATCCTCTTTTAAAGAGTATTTGCTGTTACTGTTTGTTCGTTGATATGGTTTATGTGAAACTTTCATCGCTTGATTGTTTTAGCTCACTCACTCTTTTCCTAACTGTTGATAATCCGTCTCCTTCTACTGTTGGTTTATGTGCAATCTGTCTAACATAACCAGAATTGCATTGATTTATGTATAGTACTCTAATGTAAAGTTGAGTTGATGATGTCTACAATCTATTTCTAATGCCTTGCTGTTGCAAATTTAATATGATATGGGTTGATGTTTGCTCTATCATGTGTTTGTGAAAGGTTTGAAAATAGCTTGTAGAATTCAATTATTTTACTGCCTGATAAAGCTAGTGTGATTGTTTTTCCTTGAGAAAAGAATGTCTTCTAATTTTATTCTCCATTGATTTTGTATGTTAGTTCACAAGATTGGAAGGCAAGACTAAAGATTCCACCAGCTGATACACGCTATAGGACAGAGGTATGATTCCGAATACTTTAAATCTGTTATCATTTAATATTCCAAGTGATTGTTTATTTAAATTATGTATTATGCTTTGGTCATATATTTTGATTGAGAATTGGGATCTTTGAGTTTGTACAGAACAATACACATCTGTTGTTGGAGTTGATTCTCTGCATTGGTTTTAGCTTTCATTTTGTTGAGTCATGTCATTTTTAGTACCATATGGCCTGTTCTTGTTCTATTAGACATTTGATTTGCCATGTCATTTTTCAGTTATTAGTATTAGATGGTTACGGCTTAGAATTTAGAGTATAAACATGGTTGTAAAACTGCAAACTCTTTTATTAAAATTTCTTTTACATCCAGAAATATAGGAAATAATCTAAGATTCTACTAATTCTCACTCTTCAAACCTCATTATTACAGAATTAAATTTTTTTAATCATAAATTATGTGTTAGATGTCACATTGTGGCTATTTTTCCAAATGATATTCATAATATTCTTTTAATGGCCTGATAAATGTTATCATCTTGGGGTTAGTAATTTAAACATTGTGCTAGTCTTGACCTTTTGTTAATTTTTCTACACAGGACGTGACAGCAACTAAAGGAAATGAGTTTGAGGATTACTTTTTGAAGCGTGAGCTGCTAATGGGAATATATGAGAAGGGGTTTGAAAGGCCATCCCCCATTCAAGAAGAAAGCATTCCAATTGCCCTTACTGGTAGTGACATTCTTGCTAGGGCTAAAAATGGAACAGGCAAAACAGCTGCATTTTGCGTTCCTGCATTGGAAAAAATTGATCAAGATAATAATGTTATTCAAGGTAGGCTTCATCTTCTTTGTTTACACCTTATTATGTCTCAGTTCTGTTCTGGTAGCCTGCTGTTTGTTGTCACTTGTCAGCACTCAGCAGTGTTTGGCTTATATTTCATTCTGAAGGGAGTTTAAGTTATGCGAGGCGCCTAGAGTATTGTGTTTAACCATTAATCGTTCCTTGTTCATGTTTTTAATTGTTAATTTGTTGTTTATAGATAATACTTGGCAAAATTGTGTTAAGGCCCACCAAGTGTTTTCCTATTTTTTTTATGACAAATATGCAGACAGTGTTTTGGTGTCAATTGTCAAAGTTAACTGAAAATAGAAAAGGATATGTTTTGTTGTATTGATGCATGCTTTAACTTTTAATTGTTTAGTTACTTCGTGTCCATTTTTTTTAATAAGAATCAATTATAGGGTCTACCCATGTTTTGACCATTGCCTTTTGTTTTGTCCTGTCATGCAGTTGTTATTCTGGTTCCAACACGAGAACTAGCTTTGCAAACATCTCAAGTATGTAAAGAGCTTGGAAAACATTTGCAAATTCAAGTTATGGTCACAACAGGCGGTACAAGCCTGAAAGATGACATTATGCGTTTATATCAACCTGTTCATCTGCTAGTTGGTACTCCAGGAAGAATTTTGGATCTTGCAAGGAAGGGTGTCTGTGTTCTAAAAGATTGTTCTATGCTCGTCATGGATGAGGTAAAGACAGTTCACCAGATATTTACTAATTTTATAATGTTTGTAGAGAAGCATACTATTGTTTATCAGATGAGAAATTATAACAGGAGTAAGGAATCTTTAATATTGTCTGATATCTCGTCTGGTCTGGTCTGCTAGGGTAAGGAATTTCGTACTTGTCTAAGTTTCATTTTGATCTTTGTAGCAGATGGAACAACTTTGTATATTGCATATCTGGTTTATGCTGTAAACATATAGACGAACATCTTCACCTTCAGTTAACATTTTCATTTCTTTATCTTTGTATCAGGCTGATAAACTTCTCTCCCCAGAGTTCCAGCCTTCGATAGAGCAGCTGATTCAATTTCTTCCCTCAAACCGTCAAATCCTTATGTTTTCGGCTACATTTCCTGTTACTGTAAAGGATTTCAAAGATAGATATCTTCGTAAGCCATATATCATTAATCTTATGGACGAGCTAACTCTGAAGGGTATTACCCAATTTTATGCATTTGTGGAGGAGAGGCAGAAAGTCCACTGCCTAAATACTCTTTTCTCTAAGGTATATGTTGCTCATGCCAAAAATATTGTAATTTTTTATACTTGCGAGATTTGGATGTGATAGTAATATGACTTCTATTACAGCTGCAAATAAACCAGTCAATCATCTTCTGCAACTCGGTCAACCGGGTTGAACTCCTTGCCAAAAAAATCACAGAACTAGGGTATTCATGTTTCTATATTCATGCTAAGATGTTGCAAGATCATCGTAATAGAGTTTTTCACGACTTCCGTAATGGTGCCTGCAGAAATCTTGTTTGTACTGGTATGTTAAATGACAGTTTACTAGTTTAGCATCCTGTTATAGATGAGCATGCATGTTTCTTTCTTTTTACTATGATTTTCTTAAATATCTAACTGTTTCTTATCCGTATTTCCTTTATTTTCTGATATGTATCCATTCATTTGTTAGAAATCAGTTTTACAAGTTAATAGTTGCATAATTTATATTAGTAGTATACTTTATATGATTAACATATGTAATTCATTAATGAAACATGGATATTCTTGATAATGCGAAAGTGTCAAATCTTGTTTTATATAACTGCTTTATTAAGCTTGTTAGATATTTATTATTCCAACCTGATGATTAACTTTTTGTTATTCTCATTCTAAAACAGATCTTTTCACTAGGGGAATAGATATTCAAGCAGTGAATGTTGTTATTAATTTTGATTTTCCCAAGAACTCAGAGACATATCTGCACAGGGTATGTTTGATTTCTGCTTTCTTTCCTACATTGATAATGATTCTCTGTATGTGTTTTCATGGATGCTCTGTATGCAGGTTGGTCGATCAGGGAGGTTTGGACACCTTGGCTTAGCAGTGAACTTAATAACCTATGAGGATCGTTTCAATTTGTAAGTATGTCTGTTAGATATGAGTTTCAGAGCTACTTGGTGCAGATTTTTGATGCGTTTCTATATATGTTGTCCAGGTATAGGATTGAACAAGAACTTGGCACTGAAATAAAACAAATTCCTCCGTTCATTGACCAGGCCATATATTGTCGGTGATTTGTGGTAGATACCTTGTTTGTATTCTCAACTGTGGTGAATAGCATCGGTGAGTGATAGGAACCATTTTCCTTTGATATTTATGATGATCATGGCATCCTGTTTGTGATATTTTTTCATCCAAGAGTGAAAATAAATATTTCTATATTTATATGTAACTGTCTGCAAGTCTGTTTCATTAGAGAAAAAACTGGCTCTACTTTTCACTTTATTTTTTTGTAAAAATAAAAGTGAATTATTTCCATCTGGCTTCTCTAATGTGAAGATTGCATAGTTAAGACTTAAGAGCATAGAGGCAATAGTAACTGTTCATCCAAGAATCAATGGAATTAGATTAAAAATATATATAGCCATTTAAATCATAATGATTATTTTTCCGACGAACTTTTATAATTCCACACTTGATCTTCTAAATGCACCCTCGAATGGAAAAGTCAATTTCATTTCCATTTCTGTAAGTACTAAACCAAATGTTAATCAACTAAATGTTTTCTTTATTGTATAATTTAAATATACTTCTTAATTGTGCACCTTATATTTATTCTTTTTCTAATGATTTTTCTAATGATTCATAAGTTGGTGTTTCTGTTGCTGATTGCTTGTGTATCTTTTTTACAGCTTGATGTTCACGCAAGCCGGTGTGAATGCGCTGCATGAGGATTCAATAAGGAAGTTAGGGTATTTGTCAGACCCCTTTGTTGAATGTTTTGTTATTTATTTCTGCTTTTAAGAGCCCTGGAAAATAATTAGGACCTAAAGTTCAATAATGGGTTTTTAAATGCCAGACAGTTGCTTGGCTCTGTTTAGGTTTCCGTGGATTGCATTTGCAAATGTGGTTGTTAATAAATGTTATTACTCTAGATTTTCTCATCTTGATGGTTAATAGAAGTTTGCTTTACTATGATAACTTCCCTTCACACTGGCTATTCCATTATGACATTCAGTATTTTAATTTGTCATTGTGGTTCACACAAATATCTTGTTCTCATAGGAATTTTCACATTTTCTGCTCAATTTATGATTGCTTTTTTCATGGTAATGATGGTATATCTGCTTTTGGGTAAGGTATTTGATACTAATGTCTTGATCTGAGCCATGCTTGGATGATATCGAGGTTAACAACCAACATGAAATAAGTGACAAACTTAAAAGTTTGAAGCACCTTGGAGTCATTTTTATTGAAAATGGTTGCTCGAAGGTTTACAGATCAGTCTGGCATCAAGGGTGTACTTAGTAGATATTGAAATATGAACATCAATTTTAATTCCGGTTCTTACTACCTATTTCCCAATTTTAGAAAAGGGTTACAAACTTGACTCAATAATCAATTCTATAAATATTATGTTTGTTTTTGTATTGCATACTTTTTTTATTCTTTAAAGCTTCTTATTCTGCCAACCAAGTTTAGCAAGAGAGAATTTGGAGTTTTAGTATAAAATCATGTATTTAATTTTAGGATTTGAGCTTTATAAATATAAGTGTGTACTGTATTTTCTTAATTAATAACAAAATGATCACAACAAGTATATGATACAAATAAGACTAGAAATAGAAGTGTAGAATATAAGCAAATTAAACCATAGAAACAACAATATGAATATCAACTTATACAATGTTAAACATCTGATCATGTAATGTCAAGGCCCATTGATTTTTAGGCACACCTAAAGCTTCCCCACACAGCCTTGGAAGTATCAAACAATGTTCTTTGGACATGGAGGTTGGTAATCATGATCTTTATCGAATCCCTTTGTGGAGTCACACTCGTCAACAACCATGGCCACCACATTTTTTCCATTAGCATTGATGGTAATGTTTTTTTTTTCCCCTTGTACACAACAATCAGAATCATTCTCTTGATTGCATTGTTCTTGAGAAGCAAATGCACACAACTTGTCAATATAAGACAGACAAACAATACAAGCTTCAGCAACTCTGAGCTTTAGAATGCACACAACTTGTCAATATAAGACAGACAAACAATACAAACGAAGCTTTGGGGCAAAATCTCTTCATTTTGTGTATGTACTTGTGTTTTTTTTTCTTTGTTGTTGGTGTTGGTGTTTGTGATTTGGGGCAGATTTAAGTAAGTATATATAGAGAAGTCCTCTCTGTTTATAAAGTAATTTGGTTGGCTAACAAAGCAAAAGAAAAAGATATATAGTTAGATTTTGGGTCAACAAATTTATTTTATGTTGCATTGTGTTGTGTTTATTACTACATCAACATTCTAGACTGTGCATAGGTTTTTGTCTATACTATTTGATCACTCTTATAAGTATATTTGACTTTTTTTTTAGCTCATTCTATCTAGTTCATGTACATCAATTATTGAATGATCTAAATTTAAATTTGCTTAGTTAAATTTGCTTATTATAGTGGTCACACGGTCTATCTTTTATGAGGTTGATTTTTTTATAAATGTTTTGTAGAATCAAATGTTATTGATCATTGTTACGATGCAATCTCTTGGTTTAGTTTTGTAGATTGGGTTTTATGCTAATATGATATACATATATTGGGTTTTATGCTAATATGATATACATATATTTGAATTACGTGAATTTAAATGGAATTACACAGTGTACAACATATTTCGCTTTTTAAATAATTTTAAATTCAATAAATTGAAGTTAGGGATGATAACGAGTATCGTATACGAATGATAATATAATATCGGTTTTTATATCTATAATTTAAAAAAATCTTCGTATACGAGCCCACACCTGCGTGGGCACCAATCCCACATTGCGTGGATACCAACTTTTATACTCGTACACGTATTCTTTAAATACTTAAGTACCTTTACCTATATTTATTATCCGCCGTTCTAGTAAAAATAAATCTATTAATTAAAAATATGATATCATTTTAATTTTTTAGCAAAATTAATGAAAAAATTCAAAAATTTTACAATTGAATTGTGAAATAAACGAACAATTATGTTAAAATGTGTAATTGTCTAATTGTGATGTATTTTTTAAAGAGATATACATTTTTTAGCAAGGATATATTAATAAAGGAAAATTAAGGGTTCTCTAACTTTTTTACACAATCCGAAAAATAATCCGACAAAAGAAAGAGATTACACACCAAATCGACCTACGATAAAAATAATAAAAGAAAGAGATACGCACCAAATCGACATACGATAAAAATAACAACAAATCTTTGCCAAATCCGTAGAGACTATAATTGGGATGAATAATATCTCCCATAAAAGATCACCTCCAAGTCAAAATCTTTATACTCCAAACCATATTATTCATTATTCATATTCCACTTGTCATTGTGAGGATTTAACATGCCACCCCTAAAATTATACATGTTACCCCCTATTTTTCTAAATGTCAAAAATGCTCCTGAACAAATCAGGGGGTGGCAAAGGATGGAATTTTCGGTAGTTTATGCAAAATTTCTGATATATTTTTCAAAAGTTTTTTTTGGTACCGAAAATTTCAGTGTATTTTAAATTTCTGGTATGATATCGGAAATTTCAAATACACTAAAATTTTCGGTACTAAATTTTTTTTTCTTCTAGAAATACCGGATTTGTTTTTGAAAAAATTGATATTTTTTTTCTTTGAAAATTGCAGTATTTTATCAGGAAATTTCCCCAAAATCCGGTATATTTTCAAAATTTCCATTTATTTTTGAAATTTGCGATTTTTTTTTGAAATTTTTGATTTTTTTTTTAAATTCTAAAATATACTGAAATATCCGGTACAGTATTTGAAATTTCCAGTATTGGACCGAAAATTTCGAGATTTTTTTCGGAAATTTTAAAAAAACTGGATTTTTTTGTTTGAAATTTTCGGTAAAAACTCATTTTTTTTGAAATTTAATGATTATTCACGAGAATATGATGGTAAAGTCATATCATTGGGGGGTGGCATGTATAATCCGTGGGGGTAGCATGTTAAATCCTCCAAAGTTACTAGTCAAATAACTCCCAATTTTCCTTTAACTTTCTTATTTTTACCGAAAGTATACCAATCCAAAAAATTAGCTAAGCACTCCTCTTCCGAACCAACCATTTTGCCAATCCAAAAAGTTAATTTCTTCCAAATAATCTTCACCACTTAGCATTTGAAGAAAGTATGGTCTATACTTTCCTTTTCTATACCACAAAAAATACACTTTTGAGAATCAACCGGGAGAACAACGCCTCTAAACATCAAAAAGTTCTTTGTTGGAAGTCTATTCACAAAAAGTCTCCAACCAAAGGCCTTTATCTTAAAAGGGATATCCCATTTCCACACCATGTCCAAAACACCAACAAATCTATTCGGGGGTCCATAAGGAATTCTAAAACTTTCAAAAAAATCGTAACAAGAAAAAACAAAAAAAATTTCATTCGACTCCTTGCTCCAAGCCACTTTATCTACATCTTCTGAGCCTACTTCAAGACCAACCAACCTAGCTTGGAGGGAAGCTAAATCTAATCCCATAATCGAACACGTAAACTCACCCCCAATCCAAACCCCTTCCTTCCAACCCCCCATACCCGCCACCGACACTTTTCTCAAAAGAGAAGCATCATACAAAACCGGAAACTCATCCGCTAAAGAGATATACTTATATTTTTTTTATAGATGATATATAAATATATATTATGCGGATATGAGGCGGGGTGAACACTAAGATACTCGTACCTGCACCCATATCCGTTTATTTTAATGAGTAATTATCCATATCCGCGCTCGTACCCATTTTGCAAGTTTTTACCCTCGCTGTAGGTATTTTTTACAGATACTCATCAGATATGGATACGATTGTTATTTTTAGGTGGAGTGATTGACTAGAAATAATAAAAGTTGAAATTTTGAAAGGATATACATAAGTAACTTTAAAAATTCTACTCAAGTTAGCATCACTTCAGTTTTTTCATATAATCCCTTTTCTAAAGTTTTAACTGTATATCTTACTCAAAAAAGGAAAAAAGAAATTCTATGTTAGGGTCTTATTGATATTGTACTCTTTGATATGCTGTGTATTTTTGCAAGTTGCTAGTCATGGGATAAAGGGAGCGATATGTTTGTGAGGTTCAAAATTCGACGGTGCTATACAATAGCAAACATGAACACAAGTGAAATATTGCAGGCATATCATAAGGTGATGATGCAGTTCAAATTTTAAAACCATGAGAAATGAAAAAAACTATCTTGATTTATAACATAACAAAGTTCTTGTAACAACATATACACAATATACACATAAGATGAAGAATTCAAGTTCACAATATCACATAAGTATTACTGCATGAAAACCCGAACATATATTTGATCTTCTACAATCAAGCATCTGACCATGTTATGTCAAGACCATCCTATTGATTTTTAGGCACACCTAAAGCTTCCCAAACAAACTTGTAAGCATCCATAATGTTGTTTGGACATGGAGATTGGTAATCATGTTCTTCATCACACCCCATTGTAGAAAGCCTTAGGTGTGATGCAGAACATGACTATCAACCTCCATGTGCCAATAATATTGTTGATGCCTCAATGGCTGTGTGGAAAGCCTTAGGTGTCCTAAAGAATCAATTGGGTGGGTTGGATATCACAAGGTCAGATGTTTGATGTTTCAGTATGTGTTCTTTGAGGTTTACTGATACGCCTCATATTTTACCTTTGCAATGTTAACCTAAATGTATTTAATATAGTTTATCTTGTGTCAGATGTGATCTTTTCATTTGATCATAGAACAAAGTACCTTATATTAATTTTACAATTGAACCTTCTATTTTTTTCTTCCCTATATATGTCTTGATGGAGTGAATTTACTTCAATTTTCATCAAGCATTATAAGAAAATTAATCTTCATAAAAGTGCATTGATAAGAAGCTGTATTCAAATTATAGTAGGGTTTCCTTTTTTGTTGCAGAAATTATTATTAACTATGGTATTGGTGACACTAATTTGTTATTTATAACTCTTTTAAAGATAATTTGAAATCCATCACTTAAAATTACTAATTCAGTTTATTAAAAGAAAATATTAAACATTACTCCACCCGACTGGGTTTATTTATTTATAACCCATCTATTTTAGTTAAATTGAAGAAACATAATTTGGTACAACTAATTGTGTCTCCCAACCCACTCAGGTCCTAGATCCTAACCTCTTATCAACACCCACCGAATTGCGAGTCTCAGTGTTGATTTGTCTACTAATGTAATAACAATGGTCACTTTGAAATTTTTAAGGAGCAATCTACAGCCATCCACTGTGGAATCTAAAACAGTAGGAAAAAAAAAATAGAATTGATACAACCAACAACGTTTAAGGTGTCATATTGAATAAGAATACACTCCACCTTCAACCACGTTTTGACTAAAAGATGCCTAAAAGTTTTCCATGTTGACCACTTGAACAGAAGACCTTTGATACCTTTCTATAATTTTCATAATGTAATCAACTTCCTTGACATTCACACGAGTGAAAATAAGACAATCACCTACAATGAATAAATGGGAAAGTTTTGGTGCCTTCCTTGCAACTTGAAAAGAAGACATTGTTAGATTGGCTGTGTTGTGATTGACGCATTTTGTTAAAACAAGTGTCCTAGAAAGATGTTGGATAAGATGTCTTGACATGTTGGTACAACTTCTAACTAACACAACTGATATCCTTTAGAACTCTTTTGTAGGGATCAACATCTTCAATAATTTGTTCAAATCCATCATGAACTTCAGTATTCTCTAGGATAGAGCCATCATAAGCACATTATCAATGTTGTCAATCACCTTCACCACATGATCCTTTTCAATATTATTCTTGTCATGAGACTTGGTTATTTTCTCCATGATTCTCTTTATTATGTTGGCATAAAGAAGGTTTTTAGTTTCCACATTCAAGCACCTATTACGAGAGGCACTTTTCACACCCATCTGATAAAGATTTAACTTTAAATATATGATAGCCTTGAAATCCATTTGATGAATTCAAGATGGGCAATATGATCATCGACACTTCCATCTTCATCAACATATATCTTAAAGGTTCTTGATTCAA